CGTTTGGCTTGAATCTGTCTCATTATTGGGTCATGTCATCTCTAGAAAAGGAATTGAGGTTGATCCTCAAAATATTGCAGCTGTGAAGAATTGGCCTAGACCTACTACCCCAACAAAGATTCGTAGTTTTTTGGACTTAGTAGGATATTACAGGAAGTTTGGGGAGGGGTTCTCTACTCTTGCCTCTCCGTTGACTAAACTGACGCAGAAGAAAGTTAAGTTCCAATGGTCAGATGGTTGTGAAAGAATCTTCCAAGAGTTGAAGTCAAGATTTACTTCGGGACCGGTGTTGACCCTGCCAGAGGGTACAAATGGGTTTGTGGTATATTGCGATGCTTCAAGGATCAAACTTGGGTGTGTATTAATGCAACATGGCAAGGTGATAACTTATGCTTCTAGGCAACTCAAGAATCATGAAAAGATCTATCCAACGCATGACTTAGAGCTTGCGGCGGTGGTATTTGCATTGAAGATTTGGTGTCATTATCTGTATAGGTTTCATGTGGATATATTCACGGACAGTAAGTGTCTTGTATATATTTTCAAATAGAAGGAATTGAATATGAGGCAGAGAAGATGGCTTGAGTTACTCAAGTATTACCACATCGATATTCTATATCATCCGGGGAAGGCTAATGTTGTAGAAGATGCTCTAAGCCAGAAATCGCTAGGCAGTTTGGCTCACTTGGAGGCATATTAAAGGTCATTAGCCAAAGAGGTTCATCGGGTGGCTAGTTTGGGACTTCGTCTTGCGGATTCTAGTGAAGGAGGAGTGATTGTGCAAAATAGGACTGAATCATCGCTTGTTGTGGAAGTCAAGGAGAAGCAATACACCGACCCATTGTTGGTACAATTGAAGGAGGGGATTCATAAACATAAGACCATGGCCTTTTCTCTTGGCATGGATGATGGAAAACTAAGGTACGAAGGGAGATTATGTGTTCCAAATGTGGATGGTCTTCGGGAAAGAATTATGACTGAGGCTCACACTTCTAGGTATTTCGTGCACCCGAGCTCTACAATGATGTATCATGATCTTAAGGAAGTCTAATGGTGGAATGATATGAAGAGGAATGTAGCGAACTTTGTGGCAAGATGTCCAAATTGTCAGCAAGTGAAGGCCGAACACCAAAGGCCCGGTGGGTTCGTACAAAATATAAAAATTCCATTGTGGAAATGGGAGATGATCAATATGGACTTTGTGGTAGGACTACCTCGCACTCCTCGCAAGTTTGACTCGATTTGGGTGATTGTGGATCGACTCACGAAATCAGCACACTTTGTACCTGTTAAGGATACCGACACAACAGAACATTATGCCCAGTTGTATATCACAGCAATAGTCAGGTTGCATTTCACTCCAGTTTCTATTATCTCAGATCTATGGGCACAGTTCACGGCTAATTTTTGGAAGAAATTATAGCAAGGTTTGGGTTCTCAGATATATTTTAGTACAACTTTCCATCCACAGACCGACGTGCAAGCAGAACGGACTGTTCAGATGCTCGAGGATATGTCGCGTGCTTGTGTTCTCGACTTCGAAGGTAGCTGGGATGATCATTTGCCGCTCATAGAATTTGCCTACAATAATAGTAGGAGATCTGCTACTACAATAATCGTAGGAGATTATTTGCCGCTCATATCATGCTATCATTCAGATGGCACCGTTCGAGGCTCTATATGGTAGGAGATATAGATCTCCCATTGGGTGGTTCGAGATTGGGGAAGCGGAGTTGATAGCACCAGATCTCGTGCATCAGGCTATAGAGAAGGTTAAGATCATTACAGAACGGTTGAAAACTGCCAAGAGTCGTTAGAAGTCCTATTTGGATATACGCCGTAGGTATTTGGCGTTCAAAGAAGATGATTGGGTATTCTTGAAGGTTTCCCCTATGAAGGGTATAATGCAGTTTGGTAAGAAAGGAAAATTGAGTTCGAGGTATGTCGGACCATACAAATTCATTCGGAGGATTGGCCAGGCGGCTAACAGGCTAGAACTACCTTCAAAGATGTCTTTAGAGAACCCGGTGTTTCATGTATCCATGTTGAAGAAGGTGGTTGGAGATCCGTCGCTTATTATTCCGGTTGGGACTATTGGGATCCTCTAGTGTTCACAGATACTAATCCTGAGGAGGACCCTAGGACTTTATTGTCGAGATGCACAAGACCCTCCGAGTTATGCGTGCTACTCAGACGGGGGGAGTGGAGTTGGCCTCCTACCGCCTGAAAGGGGTGGCCTATTCTTGGTTTTAATTGTGGGAGGACTCCCGTGAGGAGGGAAGCCCTCCGTCGAGGTGGAGTGAGTTTGCCGATGCTTTCATTGATCATTTCTTTCCTGCCGAGACTAAGGCAGCCCATGCCGCTAAGTTTGAGAGCCTGAAGTAAGGTAACATGAGTATGTGGGAGTATCATATGAGATTCGCGTGCCTGTCCAAATATGCCATCTACATGTTGCCCACTATGGAGGCTAGAGTGTGCCGGTTTGTTTAGGGCCTTATCCCTTTTGTTATCAATGAGGCCGATACAGCTTCATCGAATTTTGATATGAACTATGGTAGGATGATGGCATTTTCTCAAGCCACAGAGACCCGCAAATTGAAGAAGAGAATGGAGCACGAGAGCAGCACCAAGGGACGGTCCGCGGGCAACTTTCGTGGTTCTTCTGGTGGTGGTGGTGGTGGTGGTAGGCCAGCAATTACGAGAGGGTCATCAAGGCCATCCCAGTCTTTTGTGCAGTATATAGTCAATGCGCAGCCATCGGGGCCCAGTCAGCAGCAGGGGAACCGCTTTAGGCTTAGTTAGGGTAACATGGGAACAGACCAGCATGGTCAATCTAGTGGGATATTTTAGCTGCAGCGGAGGCCCCCATGCCGTAGGTGCGAGAAGATGCACTTTGGGGCCTACTTCATGGACCAGCCCATATGCTACGGGTGTGGTATGAGGGGTCACATTCAGAGGGATTGCCTTTCGTCTCACCAGAGCATGGGCAAGGGCGCAGCACCACTCGCCAGTTCTGCAGCTACTTCATCCGCAGCACCTCATTTTGCTCGAAGCACCCCAGCACCCATAGGGCGTCGTGCAACTAGGGGTGGTACATAGAGTTCGGGAGGACCCATCCGTTTCTATGCTATGAAGGGTCGCCAGAGTTCAGAGGCTTCTCAAGATGTTGTAACAAGTATATTGACTGTCCAATCTCATGATGTGGATGCTTTTATTGATCCCAGTTCCACTTTGTTCTATGTCACTCCCTATGTTGCTATGGAATTTGGGATAGAACAGGAACAACTCCATGAGCCTTTCTCTGTATCTACTTTGGTTGGTGAGTCTGTTGTGGCCGTGCCAGTTTATAGGGATTGTGTTGTCACGGTGTGTGGTCGGGACACCATGGTCGATCTCATTGAATTGGGGATGGTTGATTTTTATATAATAATGGGGATGGATTGGCTTTATTCATATTTCTCTACGCTTGATTGTCAAACCAAAACCGTTAGGTTTGAATTTCCTATGAGTTAGTGATTGAATAGAAAGGGGATAATGTGGAGCCGAAGGGTAGGTTTATTTCTAACCTTAAGGCCACGAAGATGATTAACAATGGGTGTATTTACAATTTAGTCCGGGTTACGGACATCGATGTTGAGGCACCTACATTTGAGTCTGTGCCGGTTGTGAATGAATTTCCCGAGGTCTTTTCGGATGAGATCCCTCGAATCCCACAAGACAGGGAGATTGATTTTGGGATTGATGTGATGCCAAGAACGGAGCCTATATCTATTCTACCCAACAGAATGGCACTGGCAGAATTGAAGGAGCTAAAGAAACAATTGAAGGATTTGTTAGAGAAAGGTTTCATTTGGCCGAGTGTGTCGCTTTGGGGCGCATCGGTTCTATTTGTAAAAAAGAAGTATAGGTCGCTAAGAATATGTATTGACTATCGGCAACTCAACAAGGTTACAATAAAAAATAAGTACCCACTACCAAGAATAGATGACTTGTTTGATCAATTGCAGGGTGCTAAGTACTTCTCCAAGATCAATTTAAGATTCGGGTATCACCAATTAAAGATTAGGGAGCTCGATATTTCGAAAATAGCTTTCAGGACCCGGTATGGGCATTTTGAGTTCCTAGTAATGTCTTTTGGGCTATCCAATTCCCCCACAGATTTCATGGATCTTATGAATCGACTTTTCAAGTCTTTTCTTGACTCCTTCGTGATAGTGTTTATTCACGATATCCTTATATATTCGCGAAGTCGAGAAGACCATGCCGGTGATCTCAGGGCAGTTCTATGGACTCTATATCAGCACAAGTTGTATGTGATATTTTTGAAATGTGAATTTTGGCTTGAATCTATCACATTCTTGGGTCATGTTGTCTTCAGATAAGGAATTGAGGTTGATCCTCAGAAGATCGCAGCTGTGAAGAATTGGCCTAGACCTACTACCCCATCAGAAATTCGTAGCTTCTTGGGCTTAGTAGGATATTATAAGAAGTTTGTGGAGGGGTTTTCTACTCTCGCCTCTCCGTTGGCTAAATTGACGTAGAGGGCAGTTAATTCCAATGGTCAGATGCTCGTGAAAGAAGCTTCCAAGAGTTGAAGTCAAGATTGACTACGGTACATGTGTTGACCCTACCAGAAGATACATATGTAGTTGTGGTATATTGAGATGCCTCAAGGATCGGACTTGGGTGTGTATTAATGCAACATGGCAAGGTGATAGCTTTATGCTTCTAGACAACTCAAGAATCATGAAAAGAACTATCAAACACATGACTTAGATCTTGCGGCAGTGGTATTTATATTGAAGATTTAGCGTCATTATCTATATGGGGTCCATATGGATATATTCACGGACCATAAGAGTCTTTAATATATTTTCAAACAGAAGGAATTGAATATGAGGCAGAGAAGATGGCTTGAGTTACTCAAGGATTACGACATCGATATTTTGTATCATCCGGGGAAGGCTAATATTGTAGCGGATGCTCTTAGCCGAAAATCTATGGGCAATTTGTCTCACTTGGAGGCATATCAAAGGCCGTTGGCTAGGGATGTTCATCGGGTTGCTAGTTTGGGAGTTCGTCTTGCGGATTCTAGCAAAGTAGGAGTGATTATGCAAAATAGGGCTGAATCATCGCTTTTTGTGGAAGTTAAGGAGAAGCAATACAACGACCCATTGTTAGTATGATTGAAAGAAAGGATTCATAAACATAAGAACATGGCTTTTTCTCTTAGCTTGGATGATGGCACACTGAGGTACCAAGGGCGATTATGTGTTCCAAATATGGATGGTCTCCGGGAAAGAATCATGATCGAGGCTCACACTTCTAGGTATTCTGTGCACCCGGGCTATACAAAGATGTATCATGATCTTAAGGAATTCTACTGGTAGAATGATATGAAGAGGAACGTAGCAGACTTTGTGGCAAGATGTCCAAATTATCAGCAAGTGAAGGCCGAACACCAAAGGCCCGGTGGGTTGGCACAGAACATAAAACTTCTGTTGTGGAAATGGGAGATGATCAATATGGACTTTGTGGTAGGACTACCTCACACTCCTCGCAAGTTCAACTCGATTTGGGTGATTGTGGATCGACTCATGAAATCAGCACACTTTTTACCTATTAAGGCTACCAACACAGCAGAATAGTATGCCCGGTTGTGTATCAAGGAAATAGTCAGGTTGCATGGCACTCCAGTTTCTATTTTCTCAGATTGATGGGCATAGTTCAGGACTAATTTTTGGAAGAAATTCCAGCAAGGTTTGGGTACTCAGGTAAATCTTAGTACAACTTTCCATCCACAGACCATCAGGCAAGCAGAGCGGACTGTTCAGACGCTCAAGGATATGTTGTGCGCTAGTGTTCTCGACTTCGAAGGTAGCTGGGATGATCATTTGCCGCTCATAGAATTTTCTTACAAAAATAGTTATCATGCTAGCATTCAGATGGCATTGTTCGACGCTCTATATGGTAGAAGATGTAGATCTCCCATTGGGTGGTTCGAGATTGGGGAAGCAGAGTTTATAGGACCAGATCTTGTTCATCAAGCTACAAAGAAGGTTAAAATCATTACAGAATGGTTGAAAACTGCCCAAATATGTCAGAAGTCCTATTCGGATATATGCCGTAGGGATTTGGAGTTCAAAGAAGATGATTGGGTATTTTTGAAGTTTTCCCCAATGAAGGGTATAATACGATTTGGTAAGAAAGGGAAATTGAGTCCGAGGTATGTCGGACCGTACATAATCATTAAGTGGATTGGCCATGTCGCTTACAGGCTAGAACTACTTCCAGAGATATCTTTAGTGCACCTGGTGTTTCATGTATCCATGTTGAAGAAGGTGGTTGGAGATCCGTCGCTTATTGTTCCGGTTGGGACTATTGAGTTTAATGAAGAATTGACGTTTGAAGAAATTCCATTTGCCATTCTTGCCAGGCAAGTTCGAAAGATGAGGAACAAAAAACTTGCCTGCGTGAAAGTGTTATGGCGAAGCCAACAAGTCGATGAGGCACCTGGGAAACCGAGGAAGAGATGAAGAAAAAGTACCTTCATTCGAGGACGAATTATCTTAGGCGGGGAAGGATGTAAGGCCCTGTAAACCTTTACCTAAAACCCAGGGTTTCGTGGTGCGGAAGTAGACTTAAGTGTTGACGATTGTAAGGATTCTTCGCGGCGAGCTTGCTCACCACAGTTCGGACTTTTTGGGATGAACAGTGTGTTGGGGAGATAAAGAAAATTTTTGAAAGTGCATGGCGTTTCTGCGGCCCATTCTGCAGTAGCAGAACTGATCTGCGGACCGCATATCTGCTGCAGACTAAAGCAGAAATTAGGGCAACTTTTTGGACCATTATGCGGCCACATAACCTAAACCCAGCACAAAAATTTCCGGAGGGAAGTTCTATTGCGTATTATGCGACTGCAAATTAGGTCTGCGGACCGCAGATCGGTCATAGAGTGAGGTAGAAGTGCCCAGTTCCAGAGAGCCAATATGCAGTTCATTTAGTAGACAACATAAGCGTTATGCGGTCGCATATGAGGCCGCAGATCTGCATCGGGGCTGCATTTATTTAATTTTTGAACCCAACCCCATTCTTATAAAACAGTCTTAAGGATCATTTTTGTAACACCCCGGAAAATATTTAAGAACTTAAGGGTAAAACCCGGTAAAATTTGCAAAGAAAATTATGTTTCATGGTGCCGGACTAGTCTTACGTATTTGAGAATTATATAAATTCTTCGCGGCGAGCTTGCTCGTCGCGGCTCGTACTTTTTGGGTTGAACAACGCACGGGAAAGTAAAGGTAAATTTTTGCTGGAAATGTGCATTTATGCGGTCCATTATGGGACCGCATAATCACTCCGCGGGCCGCATAATGGCCGCAAAAGTGAGCAGGTGTGGGCTATTATGGAAGCAGCTATGCGGTCAACTATGAAACCGCATAGTGACCACAAACACAAGCAGTTCTTTTGGCTATTTTGTAACAAAATATGCGACCGATATGCGGTCCGCATATCGGTTATGCGATCACATACCTTGTTCCGGAGCTACAATTTTGGGTTTTTAAAACCCGACCCTATTTCGTTAAATACACTCTTTGGGTCATTTTTGAGCTATAAACTGACATTTTAGAGTGAGAGAGGGTGCCCTAGAGTGAGAAGGTGTTCTCCAATAATTGTTCTTCAATCCTTGCCCAAGTTTTGGAAGATTGAGAAGGGAAACTCACTAGGTCTTCATCCTAGAGGTAAGATTCTACACCCTAACCCTCAATTTCGAACTTTGTGTAGAAATGGATAATAAGCAAGATAATTTCTGGGCAAGAGGGTTGGTTATTTTACATGCATGTGTTATCAAGGGGTGTAGAATGATTGTTGAGCTAAAAATGGTAAAGGTTGGGTTGTGGGATGATGGAATCCTCCATAAAAGGATCTTGAAACCTTAATGCACATCTAGTGTTTGATAAAATGCTAAAATGAGCTAGAACCATGATCATCTTCCTAATTTTAGTTTAATTTGTTATATTTCTAAAATAGATTGAAGTTGCTAAGAATTTCAGAACATTTAGAGTCTAAGGAAGCTCAAGTGAGGTATGTTGGCTAAACCCTTCTTTGAGAATTGGAATTCCCATTATCCTTGTAAGTTCTGAGATGTTGATTATAAATCGAGTATCCCGATAAGTTCTGTGATGAAGATATATGTTCAATCCGTGTTTCAAATGCTCTTATCATATTGCATTATAAATTAAGGATGTGTCCCAAACTATGGATTATGTATCCACATGTTATAATTTCTAGTCGTGATTTATATGAAAGTTATTATGCCAAGTTGTGTAGAGGTTGTGATTGTGATACACCTCTACCCGCATACATTGGGGTGAGGCAGCATGACCACTTTGTGTGGGGATTATGGTATAGAGATTGTGATTGTGATACACCTCCACCCGCATACATTTGGGTGAGGCGGCATGACCGCTTTGTGTAGGAATTATGGTATTGTGGGACTGCACCTCCACCCGCTTACATTGGGGTGAGGTGGTACGACCGCTTTGTGTATAGTTTTGGTATTGTTGTGGCACCACCACCCGCTTACATTGGGGTGAGGCGGCATAGCCGCTTTGTGTAGGTTCTTGGTACTGTGGTTATACATCCACGCGCATACATTGAGGTGAGGCGGCAGGGCCACTTGATTTGAGTTGTGGTACTGAACGTACACCTCCACCTGCATACATTGAGGTGAGGCGGCGGGGCCGTTTTGTGTGAAGATGGTTATAGAGGATCTCATCTTAAATCCTATAAATGTTGTTGATGGCTTTTAATAAGCTTGCTATGGTTGAGACGGTTATCTATATTATACTATTGCCGCACTGGTCCATCATATTCATCTTGTATTTATGAATTCTTAAATTGCTGTTTAGTTTTCATACTAGTACTATTCGACGGTACTAACGTCCCTTTTGCCGGGGGCGCTGTATCTTTAAATGGATGCAGGTGGTTCCACAACAGGAGACATTGATCAATGATAGCGGATAGCAGTACACATTCTTCCCAGCTAACTTGGTGAGCCCCACTTCATCCCGGGGTCATGTATCTTTTGATCTTTATGTATTATGGTTGAGGTATAGCTGGGGCCTTATTGCCGGCATTATCATTGTACTTTTCTTTATCCATAGAGGCTCTATAGACATAGTGTGGGTTGTGTATTGGTGTTGGGGAAAGATAAACTATGTTATATTGTGGTTGTATTAC